TAGGTCGTGACATCTTCCTCGACGCCTCCAATACGCGACATTTTCAACTAGGGAGTCCTTACAACCTAACTTGTCTTTAGCACTACTTTCGGCTCAAATTAAAAATATATTACGAATATTATTTTTGAGACTTAAATATTTCCGTTTAAAACATTTCATATTAATTAAAAGTTGGCGCACTATATATATAACTTTGAATGACCCAAACACGGCATATTTAACGTCAAAGCAGGTCGTAAAAATGCCGTGAACTAATTTATATATGAAAATTAATTGTTCTGTGGATGGCAATAAATAATGGAATTGAAAAAATTACAATCGGAATGCTACAATATAATGTTTTTATTAATGGAAACTGAACTGGAAGAATTCTGTCTCACGAGTTGTTCCATGCATGGTGGTGACAACAGCGTGTGTTTCCTTTTAAAAATAATTTGTGGCCAGTGATATCTAAAAATTTGCGATTTTCCACACATATTTGTTCTGTCCTCTACATGTGTTAGAACTTACGAGAAGTTTCTCGCAAGGAGGCTTAATTTCTTCAGCAGATGTTGGCGACACAAATGCTGTTTGATTCTCCCCTCTACCGGCCGTTTTCTCATTCAACATGAATCCACGTCTCACCACTTTTCCAGTCATGGCGTCCTGCAGTCGCTGAAAGTCCACAAACTCGTCTGTAGAAAGAAACTGATATTTCCATCACAGGAGTAAGAAGGCACTTTGGCATATTTTCTATCACAGTGATTTTAGTTTAATATTTCACAGCAATCTCCTTATCTCTAACATTTCGCAGGTAAGTAGCATCAGCAAGATTACGTGTTGGTAAATATTTGTCAGACCTTCAGAGAGAGAAAGACGTATGTTTACTTTAAGTTTGTCACAAGTGTCCTATTTCGGTGCTTTTATAGTAAATGTTAGATGTAAGAGGATTTATAAACTATCTACTGACTGTTCTACTGTTAATGCATAACTTCTTGTACCGTTCAGACTTGTTTGGTTAAGAACATAATAAGATGGCGGTTCAATTTTATCGGACTGAGATTTAGTGTATTATTGTAAGCGTCATGATGGTGCCTGTGGTCACCACCACAGGTTGTTCAAGAAAGTGAAGCCGGTGAGATCATGATAGTGATGAAATTGAGAGGCTCATCCAGAATTTTCGAAAAACTGTTTTTTTTAATCACAGAAATTTATAAACGTTGTTTTTGCCTTGAAACTACATCTTTTCTATGTGAGAATCCTGAATTTTTAAGTAATATTTTAGAAAACGTTCTCTCCTTTCTTACATTTTCATTTACGTATTTGGTTGAATTTTCTTCCTTCGACAAGTTTCACCTCCTCCTGTTCAAGGTTATCCCATTTTTTTATGGTTTGGTTAACAAAAAATTGAAAATAATATTAAACTTCTGACGTCAATCATAACGCGACTTCTATTGCTTCTAACCACTGCATTAGTTTCTTTAACACGACAAAGGAAAGAGAAGAGCAGCTGAATAATAATTAACAGACAAAGAAAACTATTATTAATATATTTAATTAACTGAACTGCGAGTTCCAATTATTTGTCTGTTCGTCTGAACAGTGTGCAGTGCTGCGCGCTGACGACGACTCACAGAACTACCTGGTGACTTCACTGGGCCGATCGCTACTCCACATATCTGGCTTGAACCTTCAACCGACATATTTTTGCCCCGTGATGCATTGTTCCATTCACAGCTAGACCCCCCCCCTCCACCCCAAGGTCCGACGGTCCTTTGTTTCTATTTCGCATCTTCTTCAATATTTCCCTTTTGTCATTTATTTCCCTCATTTCCCCTCCAAATACTCTTGACAGGCTGACTGCAGCCATCACCGATGTTTTCCGCTCCTATATACATGTCCTCTGAGCTGGACTGAAAGTAATAAAGATAAGAGAACAGTAGTTGATCTCCCTCTTTAGAACTCACTATTGCACTCGTCCTCAGGAATTACAGCGACGGGATAATTAGTCTTATCACATCACAACGGAAACCTAGCTTCGTTACAAGCAGTTTTAATTAAAACAAAGCACTAATGGAATGACAGAACACAACAACGCTTCAGCACCGGAGGGACTCGTTTAATTTCACACTTAACAAGAATCGAAGAAGTCAGATCGATTAGATTAATTGAACGCGACAAAGTGATAGACGTGGACGTAGAGAGAATGTTTAATCCAATTTGTGACATCTTCAAAGCTTATATAACACAAGCTTCGTACGTTCTTGCGCTTTGGCAACATGGTGATATTACGTGTTGACGTCTCTCCACGCTTGACGTAAATTCATACATCAACTACACGAGCGAGAGTACAGAAAGTGACTGGAGCTGATTGGCTGACAAAGTCACGTGACAGTATATGCTCAGAAGGAAGTGCAAAACACAACATTGGTGAAATTTTGCGGTCGCTATACACTCATAAAGGGGGGGGGGGGGGAGGGGGGGGGGGGGTTGAAGTGGGCCTCACACCTATATTTGCTTGTATCGGAGTTGCCTTTCTTTCCTTATATTGTTGGCTTACGTATATTTGTAGCTGATGTTGTCAGCAGTGGAAAAGGAATTTGTCAATTTTTCTATGAAAGCCAGTGGACAGGAAACGACAATATAAACGACTTCCGGATTCTGTTGTTGACGGCACAATCATTTCGTACTGCGCCAACAATGATGTTCTATTCGGAGTTCAACCAGTGGCGTTGTCGTTTGGGTTTATATGTTCATGTTATGTAAATAAGACACAGTTTTCTCGAGACTGTAGATGCTCTTAATTTAAATATGTTTTTATTATTGTAGGACCAAGAAACTTGTGGGGAAGATAAGTCAGTCGCAATTGAGCTGTGGTAGTTAGAGGGCTGTGTGTTTTGTTCAGTGCGATGTTGTGTGTCAAACAGGATTGTGGTTTCGGAAGAAAATTTTAAACCGGTGAGTTTAAAACAACAGAGCGTCTGAGTTCAAGCAATAATTAAGGCTGTAACTTAACAAATGACAATCATGAATAGGTATGTCGATTGTGGAGAGGAATTTTTCAAACCATTAGAATTATAATAATTTAAATCACATAAAATGCTTTACATGTAATCTTTTCTTAAGGGGCCTCGCTAATTAATCTCGCCCATTGGTTCCCGCTTCACTGTGTGCATTCCATTTTTATACGACGTAAAAAGCAAACAGTATTCTAAGAAACAAATGAAAAATACTGCGTATTCGAAGTTTATTCGCAGGAAGTTGAGAAAGCCCGTCGGCTATAACAGAATTCTACAACATTTTTTAACCCATGGCAAACCTTTATATGTCAAAGACACAACATAATTTCACTTCACGTTAAGGAGGTACGAAACTTCAAAAATAAGACACAAGTAGAATTCTCATTTGAACAGAATTACTTACATGACGGAGACAACTAGAAAGATAAGTTAGCCCACATAATATATTCATCACAAACGTGCATACAAGTTAAGCAGAACTAAGGTTGAAATCCCGAATGATAGGTCAGACTTCACACACAAAATGACAGATGGAATACACTTCAATCTCAAACATCGCAGAATCATTTGTAAACAACTCCAACACAAAACCGAGCCTCAGAGACTGGGTCGTATGATATCGACGAAGGCTTCAACCTGCTTCCCCGTCGGCCCTAATCAAGGTTAATTGTTCCTCTCCTTCGCACCCAACGCTTTGTTCTCGTGTCCTGCTCATCCCTTGTCTTTCATTCCACTTTATTCTATTTGTACGAAGTGTGCCTCCTCACAGCAGTAGCTTAAATGCTGCACCTCGAGGGAAAGCAGACTGGAAACTAGTGGTTGCAGGATACGAGAAAAAAAAAGCAAGTTTGTCTGAGTCTCTCAGGGACGTTCCAGCCGCATGCGTGGAGAAGGTCATGGTTTTCAGGCTCAAAGGACATCTAACCCTTCGTGGTGGAAGTCACGAGAGAGCAAATATGTTTACAATAAAGAAGTGGTCTTGCGGACACAGACCCTGAGTACAAACATGCTGGAGGATGCCCACAGTGTTGAAGCCCAGTCACTAACTAACTTACTAGATGGCTTACCGAACCCGAAGGTTCATCACCGAATTAACCAAAGCCCTCCACCGGACCCTGTCCGGGGCCAACAAAATCCAGTCTCCTTCGACTCCTATCTCCCATAGAGCCCGCCTGAGATTATCCTCCCATCTACGTCTAGGTCTCTCCAGCGGTCTCTTCCCCTCAGGTTTCCCAACCAATACCCAGTGCACAACTCTTGTCCCATCCATGCACGCTGCATGCCCTTCCCATCTCATTCTTCTCGACGTAATCACCCTGACAATACTGGGGGAGGAGTACAGATTTTTAAGCTTATCATTATGCAGTTTTCTCCATGCCCCATCGTCTTCTCTCCTAGGCCCAAATATCCTCCTCAAACACCTGCAATCTGTGTTCCTCCCTCTGAGTGAGAGACCATGTTTCGCACCCATACAAAACAACAGGCAAAATTATTGTTTTGTATACTTTAATTTTCAAGTTCCTAGAAATCAGACGGGAAGACAAAATATTTTGAACCGAGAAGTAGCAAGCATTTCCGGAATTTAGTCTCCTCCTAAGTTCCTCGTAAATATTATTTTGATTTGTTATTGTTGTTCCCAAATATTTGAACTCTACTACAGGACCAAAACGTCCTACAGGGAGCAGACGTGGAAAGCCGTATCACGCTGTCCTCAAGGGGGCGTAGTCCCGTGGTTATGCCCCTAGGGAACTCTCTCAGTCCTTCACATGTGATCTAACTTGAGATGTTGGAATCGCAGAGGTTCCAAGCCCGCGAAGTTGTCTTCGGAAGGGGTTACGGGCAAAGCAACAGGGAGCTCTCCTGTGGTACGTTCCCTTTGCACCTTAGGGATACCCACTTGACTTGGACGAGCCCATAAGACACTCATCTTTCAATTGGATTTAGTGTACCAAAGGAATTCTTCAGGCTAATAAAATATGTTTTTATGAATTCGCATTTTAGTATCGTCGGTGAATCAAGCCTCCGCGTCTCTCCGGTAACTGCAAGAGTGCGGTAGCAAACTCGCTGACCTTAGGAGACCGGAGTGACAGGATCAAGGGCGAAGCTGCACAGTGAGAAGCATCAGAAGTTTTACTGTTCATCAAATATTATCTTGATAATGAACTCGAAGAATATGAAATGGGCGGTGAATATAGGGCACATGGGGAGATGAGAAGTGCGTGCAGAATTATGGATTGGAAACTGTATTGACTTAGTTGCAGGATAATATTAAAATAGATCTTGAGGAAATCATTTTGGACGTCGTTGACTGAATTCATTTTGACATAGACGAGCCTTTGGATTTCGTAAAATACAGAATTTTCTTGACTAACAGAGCGTAATCGGATCTTCCGAAAAGGCTCTGTACTCCATGGAGTTCGTTATTTTCCTATTAAACTTAACACCACGTGGCGGCCGTGTCGCTGTCGGACGTGGAAGATTGGTAAAATGTTTCGTAATGTGTGGCCCCTCATAAATTTTCGAAAAAAAAGGCCATCTTTCCATCCTTATTTTTCGTGGTACCAAAAGAAACATGTCTGCCGCGCGAATTCTATAATTCGGTGTCTGTTTATTCGTCATATATTTCGATCAAATGAGACTAGAAATGAAAAAGTTTGTGTGGAGACACGTATTAAACGCACGTCCCTTTCAATTCTCTTTGAGCTGTGCTTTGAATGTTAAGAATTAAAACTTTAGATTTTACGAAACTTTTGATTGACATTTGACTGATTTAAACTTATAAATAAGTGTGATGGTTAAATACAGACACAGCGTAGTACAAACATTCGTCACTGAATTGCACAATTATTAGTTTGAAATGCGTACCAGCGACAAGATGTTTATTCAAGCATCAGAATTAATTAAAATAAAAGACTCCTTTCTGTACAATTTTACGTTCTAGAGGGTATATATTTTTTTTTATATATTTTAAATCTTGTCCGTCTAATCACAATAAATTCTTATTAAATATTAAAATATTACAATAATTAACATTTAAAATATTTAAAATATATAAAATTATGTTCTTTATCGAAATATTCGATTTACATTAGACCATCATTTTTCAGTTCAAACACGGCAATACTTCCAGACAGATGTAACTCCTCTACAACTTACATTTCTGGCTGATACAAAAAACACCAAAAACGTTCACCCACACTAAAGTCATATTGAGCATGATGTACATATACAGAACAACATCGAGTATGTTATTAAAATGGAATAAAATCTGGAAAAGAATATCATTTGATATCTGATAAAATGTACGCTAAAATAATATATAGAAATTGTATTTAAGTTATTATTGATTTGAATCTTTATATAATTATATTCACCTGAAGATAGTTCTTTTAGGAACTGAAACATGTCGTGAAAAATGATGGTCTAATGTAAATCGAAAATTTCGATAAAGAACATCATTAATATTTTAAATATTTTAAATGTTAATTATTGTAATATTTCTAGATGGTGTTAATATATGTTGCAGAATCATTATAAACTTTCACTAATTTCTGTTTTTAATGAAAAATTTTTGTCCCAAAAGAAAACTCACAAAATAAAATTTATCGTCTTGTTAACACGTCACAAGACCCACTAGTTGCAAACCCCGGACTGGGTGTTATACGACGTCTTTTCTTGGCGTGTGGGATAGGGTTAACAGGAGGTCACGTCCACATGGCATAACGTGACTGTTTAGGGTCAGGAGGTCATCGAGTAGTGTGAAGTGGATTGCCACTTGAACCTGCACTAAAGTCAAACACTTGTTCAGCTTTGAAATAGGTATTTGAGCTCTCTGCAATAATTCTGCCTCCTTCTTCCCACAAAGAACATGACGTGAGCACGTGCACAGTGTTTCGTTTCCGTCCACATGTTGTGGCCAATAAATCACTCAACAGATTTCCATTAAATTTGGCATTGAACCCGAATTTATTTTTATCCGTATCGCTTCAATACAGGGATCAAAACCTTAATATTCAGAGCAAATTAAATTTGTTCTTGTGACGAAACATCACGTTTTGAAGACGTGTTAATGGAGGGAGATCTCTGGGTGTTATTTGTTCTCGGAGAAATCTCCGACGGGTTCTTCAAAAGAGAACTCAATAAGCTATCTCTAATTTGTAAGAATATGAAGATTCCTGTCTTCTGGGTTGTTGCGCCGTGTAATATGGTAGATGTTTACCGACGTTTCGGAGGTCATACTGCCTCCGTCATCAGGGCGATGAGTATGAAGATTCCTTTCTTCTGGGTTGTTGCGCCGTGTAGTCTGGTAGATGTTTACCGACGTTTCGGAGGTCATACTGCCTCTGTCATCAGGGCGATGAGTATGAAGATTTCTGTCTTCTGGGTTGTTGCGCCGTGTAATATGGTAG